TTATAGGCGCTCTCGTTGACACAACTACGGCGAGAGCTACGCTCCCCAATCACAGGTTTGCCACCATTCGGGAATTGATCTCGTCAGTGTAATCAACTCCAACCGTGACGGTCAGACACTGTCTCAAGATCCTTGGGCATATGGCCTTCATGACCTATGTCGTCATCTTGGCCAGGCTCCACATGAGAGCACTTCAGTCGTGGCTCGCAACGGTTTACAAGCCCTCCAGAGACCAACTCTCCAAGCTCGTTGCTATCCCACCACGTATCCACAGTTCCTTGCTTTGGTGGACAATTCCACATAACATGCTGCAGGGCGTTCCTTTTCAGCGTCCTCCTCCCATACTCACAGTTGTAACAGACGTCTCCCTTATGGGTTGGGGGGCCCATCTAGGAAACATCACAGCCCAAGGGAAATGGTCTTTCACGGAGCAAACCTCCCATATCAACCTCCTCGAATTACGTGCAGTCAGATACTCATGCCAACACTTCAAACAGTAGATAATGCACAAGTCCATTACCATCATGACAGACAACACTACCTGCATGTACTACATAAACCGACAAGGGGGGGCTCGATCCCCGTCCCTCTGCTCGGAGGCGGTCAAGTTTTGGAATTGGTGTCTCATACACCAAGTCACCCCATTGGCCGTTTACCTCCTAGGTATCCTCAACGTCACAGCGGATGCTCTAAGTCGTTCATTCCAAGATCAGCACGAGTGGGAGCTCGACAGGCACGCCCTGACTCTACTATTCTTTCGGTGGGGCCAGCCAGACATAGACCTCTTCGCCACGAGGAACAACAGGAAATGTCATCAGTATTGCTCCAGAGGAGCCCAGGGAAGACATTCCCTCGGAGACGCATTTTCCATCACATGGAACGCCCCTCTCCTCTATGCGTTTCCTCCCTTCCCACCCAACAAAATAAGGACAGAGTCCTCAACAAAATAAGGACAGACCAGGCGTGGGTCATTTTAGTGGCTCCTGCATGGCCCAGACAGACATGGTACTCCTACCTTCTCAAGTTGATGCTGACAGACCCGTATCCCTTCCCTTTCCACCACGATCTCCTGTCCCAGAATCACGGCAGGACTCTCCACCCGGACCTTCACAAGCTTCACCTTCATGCCTGGCTCCTTCATGGCTCCAGGATGCCGAGATTACCTGTTCGGACCCGGTAAAAGAGATTCTGATTAATAGTAGAAGATTCTCTACCAGGAAAACTTACAGTGGAAGCGATTTGCCCACTGCTATAGTCGACTACATGCAACTCCTCCACAGTCAGCCTCTATACCTACCTTGTTGGACTATCTGTTATCCCTCAAGCAATCTGGCCTCACACTCAGCAGTGTCAAGGTCCACGCTTCCGCTATAGCGGCGTTCCATCACCCTACGGATGGCATGTCCTTCCTTGCTAATCCATTGACCAAACGCTTCTTTAAAGACTTACAAAACACATTCCCGTCGGTCCGTCCTCCTGTTTCTGTCTGGGATTTGAATCACGTTCTAAAAAGTTTGACAAAGCCACCATTCGAGCAGATGGCTACCTGTTCTTGGTCTCTCTTATCCATGAAAGTATCCTTTCTTGTCGCAATTACCTCCAGTAGGAGAGTGAGTGAATTGGCAGCCTTGATGGCGGACCCACCTTATACTGTATTTACAAAGGACAGAGTAATACTTCGAAACCACCCGAAGTTTCTCCCCAAAGTACCTTCACCCTTTCATGTGAATGAACCCATGTACTTACCTGCCTTCTTTCCAAAGCCTCATGCCAACCCAATCCAGGCAGCATGGCACACTTAGACGTTCGACGCGCTCTGGCGTTTTATGTCGACCGCACAAAGCCATGGCGGGCCTCACCTAGGCTTTTCATCTCCTACGCCAATAAATCTAGGGGACAAGCGATCTCGTCTTAGAGAATCTCAAATTGGATTACTTCTTGCATTCGAACTTGTTATACCTTGTACGACAAACACTTACCGAACAACATCACAGTTCACTCCACCAGAGCAGTGGCTTCCGCAACCGTCTTCCTTCAGAATGTTCCACTCCAAGATATCTGTAACGCCCCCACTTGGTCATCCGACCACACTTTTGCACGGCATTATGCACTCTCTTCTTCTATAGCTTCGTCCATGGCGGTGGGACACGCAGTCTTGTCCACAGTCACTACTACTCCAAACCCACCTCCGTGAGCCGACAGCTGCTCTGTAGTCACCCAGGGTGTGTCTAGACTACATGCCTCTGTCGACGGAGGAATGTAGATTAGACAGATCGGCAGAGGGAAATGAAGCCGCGATTAAAATAATTGCGGCTTCATTTAAATTTAAATGGCTGCCCCGCTCTGCCGATCAGCTTTTTGTCGGCAGATCGGGGCAGTCTGGACGCGCCGCGTTGACAAAGAAGCCTTTCTTGATCGGCACAGGTATGCCTCGTGAAACCAGGTTTACCTGTGCCGATCAAGAAAGGCTTCTTTGTCAACGCGGCGCGTCCAGACTGCCCCGATCTGCCGACAAAAAGCTGATCGGCAGAGCGGGGCAGCCATTTAAATTTAAATGAAGCCGCGATTATTTTAATCGCGGC